CGACAGAATATACAGCCCTTTACGCATGTTTCAAGGTGATCGTCAATGAAGCGGCGAGAGACAAGACGGGGAGGGGGGGGAAGAGTTGAAACGGAATCGCCGCGATCAAGTCAGATCAGATCGCATCGCATCAACCCAGCCGACCACCAAGCGTATTGAACCCTTTAAACCTGTCTCTACCCCCCCCCCCCCTCCCCCAATTCGTACCCGTCCATCCCAAGTCAAGGATGGTGAGATTTTAATACTGTATGATAGCAGAGCCCCTAACCAAATAATCGTCTAAATCCCGCTGCAGAAAACGAAATCCAAAGTCAGAAAATCGCTTCAGAAGTAGAAGCGGCCGAGGTAGCCCCGCCCATCAATGTGAGTGGTTCAAAGATGACGGTTCAAAACGAGCTCCACAGTAGATAGAAATGCCGAAAATGCATAATCTTGATGAAGGGTGGTTTTAAGACAGTTTTAGATGCATGAAAGCGCAATTTTAGACAACTGTGGATTTCTACCATCAGATCTTTCACGTAGATGGGCGGAGCTACCTTGGCCGCTTGTACTTTCTGAAGCAAATTCCTCGCTTCGGAATTCGTCTTTTGCAGCGGAATTTGGGCGATTACTTAGTCAGGACCTCCCCTACTATACAGCACTGAAACCTTATGGCTCTCGCTTTTGGTGGACTGTGCCCTAACCCCCCCCCCCCCTCAGCCCTCATTACCCTCCTGATTACCCAGTCCCCTAACCAGATAAGCGCTATGTACGTCAGTGCATCATATCTAGGTTGTCCTAGTGACAGCGCGCTGCCAAGTACGGGCCCCCGAGTTGAACGACTCGGTAAACAAACATTATTTATACAGAGAACATCATCCCCCATTCGCCCCGCTGCCGCCGCACTCTACTCGATCAAAGGGCAAACGGAGGATAATAGAGTGAATCAGTGGATGAGTGTAGAGGTTGAGTGCTTTGGTTCCGCAGAGAAATTATGCAGGAGTCAAAATCTAACGAATTTAAAACAAATACTAACCATCCCAAGCAAGTTAGGGTGGCGGATTATGAACTACAAAGTTTTTTCAAGATAAGAATAGTATAAACATAATTTGAAGCAGTTTACGAGTAGAACCATTGCCAAACAAATCGGATTTTTTGTAAAAATCTGGAAATTGCTGGTAAAAAAAATCGGTAACGAAATCACAACTAAAAAGAATAGACAAAAAGAAATGAATAAATAAACAATCACAGAGATGATCAAAATCATAAATTGACGGCAGTTTCGACGGTAAATTGAAAAAAAAATGCGTAAAAATTTCCAAAAAATCCTTTAGGAGAATAAAAAAAACGTAGAAAAACTCCCGAAACGATGTCGCTGCTAAATCAATTGGTGGGAACAAAATTACAATCTTTCAACTTTGGTTTTCTACTATGAGCTTGTTTAGCTGTAGCAAAAAAAAAGAAAATAAATTACTGCATTTCAGTATATCATAATTATCCAAATAAATTTCCATATGTCGGAATTTATTTTTTTTTATTTCAGATCGCAAATCATAGCGAGATGTCTCTTTTTATCACAACCACCAGCTAACACTCAAAAGGGCAAAAGCTCTTAAAGCCTAGTATTTTTTTTCATCAAACACTTCATCCAAGCTCCTTACAAAGCTTCTCCAAACATTTTTTAACCACGAAAAAAATGGATATTGAAGAAGCTCTCTCTTGAGAATCGCCCAGATCCTTAAGTTTTCCACAAATACCATAGTCGGACGAAATTTTCAGTTCCAAATTAGGTCTGTACTGATTCAGCTCCATGTACAATACAAACAAAGCTCTCGTCCACGTTGCAATGATTGTGCAATCGATTCTGCTGATAAAGTTTGCACAGTGTTTATGACCATAATGAGTCATCGATGATTACTAAGGCGTCAGCTTATCATACACTATTTGCACAAAATTTATGCGCTGATAGCGGCAATAAATTCAAAACTGCGTTGAAATTCTGATTCTGATCCTCTTATGGGCATTAGATACTAAAAAATAATCTTTGTGGGTGACGCAGGAAAGGAACAAATTGTCATCAACTGGCACAGTGTAATTGTTTGTTCCCAAACGGGTCCGATAACCAATTGAATGCACTCAAACAGAAATTTTCTTGTACACGGGAAATTTGCGAAGTTAGAATAAACATTTGTAAAACTGACTTTCGGTTTTTGTACCCAAACAAAGTCTTATAAGGCTTTTAGCTCCTGAAGCACCTAATGATTTTTCCCCAAGCAAAATGCGACTTATTAGAAATATAAGGCAGGGCTTTCAAGATGCATCCATTTAAAATTTGAATATTTATGTTTTGTAGCAATCAAAGTCACACTGGTCAAAAATCTGCTGCAAATTAGAGTCTCTACCATTTGAAACCATGGTCACTATTTATTTGCAAACATAGGAAAACCCTTAGAAAAATATGAGAAAAATTTCCAAAGAAGGAAAAACCAAAATTTGTGAATTTTTTTCCAAAACTGAGGATACCAGGAAGGCTTAGGTCTGATTTTGTATCTTTGGTAGTACTGAACGACCAGCACTCAACTGACAAATTTGGAAACTGCAATTTATTTGAGTTTAATTTCTACAAATTGGCTTGAACTCTATGGCGAAACTCAAGCTATGGGTAATTTATCTACCTTTTTTCTATACAACTAGCTGAGAAAAAGCTTAAAATCTTTTGATTGATTGAACATTAACATTAACATGATTGAACATCTGTTGAAGAGTTTTGCGTATCAATGTACGAAGTAAACTACAGGAGTAAAAAATTTCCAAAAACAAAAATTCCCATAATTTTCTAGTATTTTTTCTTTTTTTTCGTGGCAAATAGCAAAGGGGATTACGCCATAACCTATCGCTCAAATAAATCAATGAAATAATATAATCATTGGATTTAAACTAATTCGCTCATCTTCTTACATAATTTTGATGAATTTATCGATCTTTCAACTCAGCAGCTCAATAAATCCATTTTAGCCCTCTCCAAAGATTGGCATGCAGCCACTTTACGTACGATTTGCTACGAGTCCACGATCTAGATAGCACAATGGAAAAAACTAGCGACTGCACTTGAAAACGAAAAAAATATCGATTAGCATCGGAGAGCTTACGATCGGCGATTGAATGGCGTGATAGGACGAACAATTATATGTACAAAAAGGATAAAAATATAAACAAAATTAATTTCGGGTAATCGAAATCGTAAAGTAGAGAAAAATTACACATAGGTGATAGCGACTGAAAAAAAGCTGATGTTTTCAGAACAAAATAAATGGATAGCATCAACCCATATTTGTAAATTTGATAGTCTAGACAGTTCTAGATGGAACTTTTCAGCAATGAAGTTTCTCTAACGCAATTTTTATGCCCCAAACGGTCTTCATTTTTTGCGGGGAATTTTCTCCGACGCTACTGCCTCCTTTCCCCTCAAAACTCTCCCGAACTTGGCAACTCCCCCCCCCCCCCCTCTCCATAAACGATCTTTTGCCTTCTAATGTGTTCAGAGATATTTCCGTCTCAAAGAGTTACGACAGCGTTCTAATTAGACATCGATGACGATCAATCGACGAACAACGAATTGATGTATGGTGCTAGAAAACACAGATGAATGCAGGATGGAGAATGAGATGCGGAAAAGTTATGGAAGAGAAATTGGATGGACCAGACGCAACGAATCAACACAGCCCTTTATAATGTCTGAGAAACGGAAATTTCAAGTTGTGCTGATCAAAAAGCAAAAATTTTTTTACTCACAAGGGAAGGACGTTTTGTCAAAGTGGCCTTTATGGATGGGATATATACATTAGAGAGCATAGAATGCTGATACCAAATCTGTCTCCCTCATCTGCGGAATTTTTGTGGACGAGAAGTAATGAGCTTTTATTGGAGCAAAAAAGTAAATGTGCATCTAGCGTAGAATGAGTTGTTGAAATTTTCTAAGCCCTAAATAAAGCAACCAAGTCTAATAAGATTTCTGTCCAAGAGTTTTTAATTGTATAAAGTGCTCTGATAATTACCACTGCTCCATCAAAGCGCTAGAAGAGATATTACGACAATTTCTGTCCTACTTGCACATATAATTTTTTTGCTTCAATAAAATCACAGCTCCTCATGAACGTTCCACATGTAAGGAAAGCAGATTTCGAGACCCGTTGTGGACGAGAGATCGGCAAGCGCAACTCAGCGCAGCTATTTATAATGAAGAAGAAACGGGAAATATTGAAAGAAATGGATGACGGTATCTCAACGTCAGCGAAAGTTGAGTTGAAACAATAAGAGTGAAAAATAAACGAAGAATAAAAACGATTCGTATACAAAAATTAGCAAAAAAATTTAACAAAGTAAAAATCAATGATGAAGATATAAATTATGGCCTTTTCAATAAGGATGATGTTATTCATAAATTTATGCAAAATTCGAAAATCTTATCAGTTTCTTTTTCCTTTGGGCTGATAAGAAGAAAATTTGTCAATATAGCGCAATTTGTTCAGAAACTGAATTTGCATTAATAAAAAAAAACGAAATTGAATTGAGAGGAACAGAAAAAATAGAAGCTATATAAAAACCATTAAAGCAATATTTGATAGTCGAAAATCATAACAAAATAAATCAAAATTAAGCTGAAAGGCAAGAGTTTCGATTGATAGGATTGGGATGGATACGAATTCCACAAGAAGATTGAAAATCAGTGATCAAAATTGGACACACCGTAAGAAAATACAGTAACCCAGCTAAGGATGCCTAAGCTCCAAAGCTTTGACTTGCATAAAAACCAAATAATTATCAAAAATTTCCTAAATGCGCAAGTTCGCGAGAAAAGGCGACAAAATCCTCTGAGATCAAAATAAAACCGTACCAGATGGGTGCTCAAAAGCTTTGAGAAGTATAAAAATAAAATAATTATCAAAAAATTTCAAAACTGTGCAAATTCGCGAAAAAACGAGATCAATTCTATGAGATCAATTTACTGTAAATTACCGTACCAGGTCGGTGATGACGTCATAGTCGGACAATGTGAAGAGTTGACCAGCAGCGTTAAGTTGGCGTTGTGCCAACACGCTGGTCATCAACGGATGCATGATGTCCGACTGTGCGCGTCGTCGTTCGCGGCGGTGGTGTCTTCTTTTGCATCGATTGTGCACAGATACAGAGACGGTAGGCGGAGACAGTACGCAATCGGCGGAGACGCAGCGCTCGCAGTCGGGCGAGTGGCTGGCGACGCGCTGGGCAGGTGCTGGCGCGGTGCAGGCGAGATGCATGGCAAAGATAGGGGGAGTACGGTTCAGCTGCATGTCTATCAAACGTCTGATCGTCGGCTTTGTGACGTCATCATCGCATCGTGAGCTTGCATCATGCTTTGTAATTATTGCATAACGTTACCCCCTCCCCCCCCCCCGCCTCAAGCTAATCAGCCCCTCTCTTCACATAATCACACAGAATCTGATTTGTCACTGACATCTGTAGAAATTTCATAATACAGGAAATAGCCGAAAACTGAGCATGGGAATAGGTAGGGGGGGGGGGACAAAGTTTTGAAGCTTCACTTGTAAAAACCTCATCCTAAAAAATTTTTTTTATCCATCATCTGCAACTATTGCACCACATTATTCATTATACCTTCATAACACCTACCCCTCCCCCCTTCCCCCGTCCATCACATAGAATTTCACTGTAGATTTGAACGGTATAGGTAGGTATCTATAGAAAAGCTTCTGTAAACCAAAAATGAGCCAAAAAATAGAGTAAAGATGAGGAGGGGGTGTAAGACTACAAGACTCAGTATATGAGATATTGACTTTTCTAGTTTTTTTGATTTTGGAATAAAATAATATGAATTAAATAAATGGGATGAAAGTAGAAAAATTTCTAAACAATAAGCAAATAAATTATTTTCATAAAAATTACCGAGGAGAAAGAGGGTTTGGTCGACCTTCAAAAAAGTTAATTTTATGGAATCCTCCCAGTTTTTTATGAGATTTCTTAAGACCCTGACAACTGCTACAAAATCAGCACCTTGAAGGGTGTGGCTGTTCACAGTCAACCAAATATGGATGACCAATTTACACGATGACAAATATGAGACGACGTGGCTGGGTGAGTTACCCGAAAAAATCATTTCCAAAATCTTTTTGACGCGGCAATGCGTGACAGAATCTCTGTCTGTCACATATCACGTGAGAGTTAAGTGCCTTCCTCTTGGGATCTTTTCAAACAAGCTTTTTGAAAAGTGATGAGAAGGATGGGATAGCGCCAGAGTTCACCTGATACAAAGTTTTTCTTATTTTGGTACCTCGAAAATATTTCCTAGTAATATATTTTATTCCGTTTAACAGTTTTTGCTGAGCCGCAGCACAAGTTATGGAAATCATGACAAATAAAGCTCTGTCATGACACCTACACTAAGCCTTCTTCGTCATCATTAACCCCAATAAAAAATCAAAGCTATTAGTTCACTGCAAACGTTCGAAAAATTAATCAGCTCTCATCGGAGACTCACAGATTTCAATCACACTAAAATAAAGGATAGCTTTGCACATCTTATTAATCCCATACGTATATATAACAGTATTGGGCCGTAAAAGCCGAAATCGAGAGGAGGGCTGTTCGCGAAAGTTAGTCGTAAAATTTTCAAAGTAGTTTACGTAAGTCAGAAATTTGTGCAGGACACTTGTTACTCGTCGACAATCATATATTCTTGAACTTCAAATTATTCTCTTAGAATTTTTTTTTGGGATAGGTTAGCAAAAATTTTGGAAAGTATTCCAAATTCTTAGAGAAAATGCAACGCCACGCCCATTCAAAGGAAATTTTGTCATCCTCCGCGGGAAATCCCCTGACCGCCAAGGGGTCCATGACTCGCTGTTTTCAGCTTACAAGGGAAGGATACTTGATGACCGTAGCATTTTGCAATGAGATTTATACTAGTAGATGCGGCTTAAAACGCTTATGCGTCTCTCTGAACGAAATTATGGACTTTTTTCCATATCAATTTTACGAGATCTAGGCAGTTAGAATTGTCCGTATCCAGGCTTTTTGGATTCTGACATATCGGATCAGAAACAGTTTTTCTGAACTTAACGTAAAGCTTTATTTTAACGCTTCTTTGCAGTGCATAAGTAAACAATCCTGTTAAGAGCCGGGCATAGTTCACGCGATTTCAGTGGCGACGCGATCTGGCAAGATTCCAGGTGTCCATAACTCACTGTAAGCAGATTTCAAATGTACAGAAAATAGGGCTTATTGTCAATCCATGTAAGTTATACACACTATGCATGTGCAGTTTGCTAATGTTGGATCTGAAGACTTCTGGCAAATTGCCAAATGGCGTCGCGACTGAAATCGCGTGAAGTATGCCCTCCCCTTTATCAAGACAGTGCAAATTTTGGTGGCAAAAATGTTCATAATTTCTTTCGGAAGAGCGCACAGCAGATACCAGAAGCAGATTTAGAATCAGCGTTCCAAGATGCATTAATGGTCTACGTTTCATTTCGGACCCGGTCACCAAGTCCTTCCCTTGTTAGACCAGAAAGGCTGTCGGTCTAAGCGTGATTATTCGAATGCAAAATCGCAGCTTTCGACTAGCCATCAGGTTCTACGATTAATATCCAAATGTTCATGAATATATTTATAGTGGGTAAGCTTATACGTTAGTCTTTTTTCCGCCATTTTCAGCATTCTCGATTGTTGGAAATACTCAACAATGGAAGAGTAATCGTCTGAACAAACAAATTTCCACAATATCGTTTCCAGCCATTCAGGAGCCGATGCATACTAGCCTAACCCATTTTCAACAGCTAATGTTATAAAAGATACGAGAATGCGAATGCGAAAGAACTCAACCATAATTTCTTTACGATAGAACTTTGTTTTGGACCGATTGGGTGAAGAGATTAGGAAGTAGAGACCTAACAAGGTGAGTTGAGACAAGAGATCCAGCGGATATAGATATTCAAAAATATCGAACTTTACCGTCAGCTGATTTTCAGCTGACATCTGTTACAAATGATATAACTGGCTTTCTATCAGCCAATGCTGATTTTTCTAGCGATCGATATATTGAACTCGAAAGGTTTTTGAAATTTTTTCTGAGTTATATTTCAATTCGATGAGATAATAAATGTAGAGATTTTTCTGATATATTCACCAAATTTGCATATACTTGAATTCCCAAGAATTATTTGAATCACTGTAATTATTTTGATATATTTTTGTAATTATCAAAGCTGAAACAAATCTTCTCGATTTTCTTGAGCCGTATTGCAATTCGATGAAATCTAAAAACCAACTAATTTTTTTTGATTTGAGTTATGTCTAGTCCTCAAAAAGCCAAAAAATTTTTTGACTCACTGTACTTGATTCCATATTGATTTTGAGTTATTTATTTGTTAAACTTTGAAATAAAGGATGACTTCGAGATTAGGGCATCAAAACATTAAGATTGAAAGTGTGCTGAATTTCCATTACAACCTTACATCGTGGTAAAAATGTGAAGTTCATGAGCTCAAAAAGCTTAATACACGTATCGTGGACTTTAGAATCATTTCGAGCAAAAAGCCCTCTATGCAGAATCTCACCTTTTTGTCTAAGATTTGCGCTAATACGAGCTCTTGTAGAGAATCAGGAAAAATACCAGGATGACGGCCCAATAGCATCCGCTCCCGTAGAGGAGAGAGGGAAACAGCTGCAATGCAGCAGCTCATCTCTCCCTCCCCCCCCCCCCTCTTCTCCATACAAACATCAAAATACGAGTTGAAAGCACTTTGTTAGCGTTGACCGCAACTGTTCAAATACAGCTTCATTCTCAAAAACAGCTCAATAGGATGAGATCCGTGCGAAAATTGCACCTCCTTGTCAGTGCCTGCGAAGCTTCAACAATATGATATCTGAATGTGATATTTCCTCTGTTATGGAAGCCTGAAATGATCTGAGGCAACAGGAGAGTCACAATAGGGGGGGGGGACTGTGAGCTATAAATTTTTCAAGCAGTAAAAAAAATTCTTCCAAAAAGTCCAGTCACGCCCCGTTTTGGAAAGTTTTTTACGCTGAACGAGGCGATTTATTGTTTTTGAATAAAGCAACATTTTTTCTTCATTTCTGATTTTGCTGCTTCTACTTCATGAAACTAAAATTTTAGTCTTGTAGATATTTTCTGGTCCTCTTAGTCATCAAGAACCACCATGTCATGGTATGTTTCCAACATTCAAGCCAAGTTAATGAAACCTTTTTTGACCTATTTCTTCTCTTCTCGTGTCTCGCCTTTCATTATTCTGGCATTTAAAACGCAATCATGTAAAGTCTAATGACGTTGTAGCTCTTGAAATCCAAATATAAGAGCTTCGCAACCCGATGTTGGGGGAAGCTCCTTGAATTATAAAAATGTGCAAGTGGCTCATACTTGTAAAAATTTAAAATAAATTTCGAAATTTTCTGAATTAACAAATTAGCCTTTAAATTGCCGCCTAAACACCGAAATTCTAAAAAACAAGCTGCCGCCAAGTCTTTTGTCTTTACGAGGTTATGGGCAGCCAAAATTTGAGGAAGCATCCCAAAAATCTTACTTAGCTATGTCATGCACCTTTCGAAGGAATTCTTTATCTTCTCCTCCCTCCCCTCCCCCAACGGAAATTCTGGTACTGCCCTGATGCTCAGATAAATAAATATATGCATATGAGAAACAAGTGCACATTTTTTGTGCGCACATGAGACGATGAAAAAAAAAAACGATTTTAGCGTAAAATGTTCGAAAAAATCTGTTATCCCAATATAAATCGCACATTATTTTGTGAAGATCGCTTTGTACGTGAAGTATTTGGCATATTGAAAACTCTACCAAAACCCTTAGGCATCCTGTTTTATAGAGGATCACAGCGATGCCTCAAGAATAGATCATTCAGAAATATCTATCTAGCTGCAGACTAGATTGTTCGCTTTTTTCTATGAATCTTAATCAGCTTTTGCTTCCCATTTCCGATTCCCACACGAAGCCGAAATTCATAATGCAATTGAAGCGCGATTCGATTGTCTTAATGGGCGTCAATCCATCACAGCAAAATCTGCAACACATCGAAATTTGCAAAGACATTGATGGATTGCGCTCGAAAAGCAAATGCGTGACGCACTTGCACACAACCAC